GGCTATCGAGGATCTAGTAATATCGCGCTGAGGGACACCGAAGGTCCTGCTGACAGATAATGGTATCAAGTTCGTCAATAAGACAATTGAAGATTTCGCGAAAGAGCGTGGAATACGCCACTCTACCGTACCGCCGTATCACCCGCAGGCCAACCCGGTCGAGCGGGTGAATCGAATTTTGAAAACGATGATCGTGGCGTTCCTCGATTGAGATCATCGCGAATGGGACGCGCACATTACCGATTTTCGTTTCGCGTACAATACCGCACATCACTCGTCATTAGGTACGTCGCCCGCATTTTTGAATCTCGGCCGCGAACTCGAACCGTCGCACACACTGCGGAAGTATCGTACCGAAACACTGGATATCGAACAACAAGATCCGGCTCGATGGTCAGAGCGGATGAGAGAATTATCGAAGTTGCATGTGTGGATTAGCGAAAATTTAGAGGCCGCGTACCAACGGCAGTCCGCACACTACAACTTACGGAGACGCCCCGCGAATTACCGTATCGGGGACTTGGTGTTGCGACGGCAACATGTCTTGTCGTCAGCAGCTCACAACACGGCCGCAAAGTTGGCCCCGAAATTTCAGGGGCCATATAAAATCTCGAAGATGAGATCGGCGGTCGTGTGTGAGCTAGCATGCTTGGACGGGAAGGTGGTGGGGAAAGTGCACGTCAAGGAACTAAAGCCTTACGTGCAACCCACCTCCTTATAGACACCACAAACCGGGCCCTACCGCCAACCATGGCCGACAGGGAGTTAGGGGACACTACCGTTTTTTGTTTCTTTTTTTTTTACCGTTTTCTTTCGTTTTTTTTCCTCGGCCTACCGACTAATTGTAGGAATAAAGAAGGGCGTAAGAAAAGGAAAAGAGTCTCCATTTAGTGACCTTCCCCGACGATCCTACTCCTGGAGGGCGAACACCACGCGAAATTATCGTTCTCGCAGAATATCGACGAGGGAAGTCGTGCCCCTCAAGATCGCCGTGCCGCGAGACGAGACGTAAGCAATCGGAAAATGTCGCGAACAGCTCGCGGAAGTTACCGCGAGCACGCGCCGCGAAAACATTAAATTTTGTGAGCAGATGGGCGGTCATGGCGAGCCCATGGCTGAGACGACCGGGGCGGTCTTCCCCGGGGAGGGGGGAGTTGTGACGTGGCAGCCGTGGAGGCGCCCGTCTCAAGAACCCCGTACCGATTAGTGTAAATGTTTATCGCGTGCCGTGTCGCTAACGGTTTTTCGAGACCTTGCCGAGTATCGCGTTCCGTCGGATTGTTTGTTGTGAAAATTTAGAACAAAGCGAAGAAGCGATTTTTGCGAGCGGAGCAGATGCGAAGGTCAGCGCGTCCCGAATTTTGTGCCCCTCGACGCCCCTTGCCGGCCACCAGGACGAGGAGCGGAGGACATCGAGGGAGGATGCAGAGGACGACAACCAGCGAAGCCCTTGCTCAGGTGAATCGCACTCTCGTACTTTGGTGATGCCAAATTATTATCGCAAATTATCGGACGCTCAGCAATAGAGAATATTCTATTGCTGAGAAATTATCGTAGTTATAATACAGTATCGCGTTTAGACGGATCAGCTGTATTTACTTTTAGCGAAGCAGCCGTCACGAGAAACCCGGCAGGAAAAAACGGGAGAGCCGTGAGAGACAACAAGCGAACTCCCGATGACAACAGTGTCTCGAGACGAAAAGTGTCTCGAGACCAGAATACCGAAATCTGCCGATTCCCGACTACCGACCACCCCAGGACGAGAGGGGCAGCGACGAGGGAGAATCCACGAGGATACATGATCCTCCCAGAGCCGATCAGCTGTTAGCCTTACCGCGACCATTGCCGCGATCAGACATATCGAAAACTACCGAGACCAGTATCGCGCGTGAAAGAGAGAGAGATCCGAGAGAGAGAGCGGAGAGAGAGAGAGCGTGCGGAGAGAGAGAGAGAGGAGAGAGAGAACGAGATAATGCGGGACGAGAGGGAGTGGACAGCGGCAGAGAGAGAGAGGAGAGAGAGTGAGAGAGCGAGCGCCGAGAGAGGGAGAGGAGAGAGATTGAGAGAGCGAGCGCCGAGAGAGGGAGAGGAGAGAGATCGAGAGAGCGAGCGCCGGGAGAGAGGACTGCCACCGCTGCCGTCACCGCTGACGCCGCCGCCGACGCAAGGGCTGTCGCCGAAAAGTGTAAGACCAACCACCTGCTCCGAATTTAATTCTAGGATTAAACGAACCTGTAAGGTGAAGTTCAATCTGAATTATGCTTCGGGTCTCGTCCGGATGGAATAACTATGTAGTAGTCTCCCTGCCTGCATTATCAACAGAGTTTACCAATCTTCCACTAGAAAAGAAAAGCCCGGCGCGCGCTGGCGCCACGCGCGTCTTGCTGCGTTACGCACGCGCGCCGTGTCATTAATTCAAAGTTTTGAGGCAAATCGCCTGTCTAAGATTGTGGGAGGGAAAAAGAAAAGAGAAGAAGGAGTGTCTATAAAACTTGGGTGGGAAGTCCATCCGGACGAGACCCGAAGCATAATTCAGATTGAACTTCACCTTACAGGTTCGTTTAATCCTAGAATTATACTATCGGGTCTCGTCCGGATGGA